TCCAGTCGATAATGTCGCCCATCGCGTACACATTAGTCTTCCCATTATTCAGAGGGATTTGGAGGGTAGGGAGGACCTTGACGTGGCCGGAAGGGGTCAGGATCGACGGGTCGAGGGTCTTGAGAATGGATGTGTTGGGGTGTCCTCCGCGGCAAGTGATCTGCTCAAGTAGGTTAGCTAGGATCCCTGGAAGTATATTTCAAGGGAAGCATACGTACGAATAAATCGGCCTCAAGGGTCAAACCGTTGGTGGTTGTGGCCCTGCGTTCGCCCTCAGCAGGCGCAGTAAGACGATCACCCAGGACAAGTTTAACACCATGCTTCTGAACGCGGGCGGTGAGAGACTTGCGGAATCGCGCAGGATATGTATCGTTCAGAAGGAAATTGGACGCATGGACGATGGTAACGCTACTGTTGGGGTAGTGGTGCTTGACCTCACTCGCAAGTTCTAATGGCCAATGGTTTTAAGATGACGTGTGTGGGGAGACAACCAGGAACGTACCGGTCCCAACTGAGCCTCCGCCGATGACAACGACGCGAGAGGCACTAGCAAATTTCTCCCTCCAGCGGCTAATGTGTTCTTTAACACGAACATCACCATCCGGGAAATTGATTGGGCCTTCCCAAGAGCTACCCGTTGCGACGACAAGATAGTCATACTTGACATTGTCCCCGGATTCCAAGTTAACAACGCCATCGAAGACGCGACTTACGCGACCTTGAACGAATTTCACACCGCGCTTGGTGAGGCCGTCATAAGGAAGAAGCGCAGAGTCTTCCAGGGAACCCTCCGACGTCACAGTCATACGGGCCGTCGCCACCATGAAGACGCTGTACGGGTGTGGGCTGATGAGCGTGAGAGTGTGTTTGGACGCATCAATGCTTGAGAGAAGATTGTGGACCAAGCTGGCACCACTTCCGCCTCCAATGACAACGATTTTGGTCTTAGCCATGGGGAACATAATGACGGCGACCAAGGCATTTCGCCCATTTATAGCCTGTTATTTTCTGTCCTGGATGCTGAAGTGAGGATTCGGTGCTTACGAGGATGCGTTTACTTGCTAATGTAATTACGCAATTATTCTGACCTCCAAATGGCTCGTAATCGTCCAACTGGTACAGTAACTGACGCATGCTGTACTAGTACTGTGTCGTTGGGGCAAGTGATGAATAGGCGCAACGGGCTATAGCCAAGAACACAGAATCTCTTCAAAGATCTGTCTGATACACACCATGGCACTTGCGATCATTTTTTCACCTGTGCCCCCATCGTCAACAGGCTTACCCAGCTCAGCTATAAATGACTCCCTTTTTCTCGCGGTCCGTCTCTGACATACCCACACCTAGGGCGTCCGGTACACGATTTGTCGAGATGCACAAAGGCGTGCTTATTTTTGCGACAAATACTCGGGCCCCGGCTTGAATCCGAGTCAACGCAATTTTGAAGCCTCGAACAGCATTAATATTGTATATCTGACAAAGTGAGTGGAGCCTTGGTGACGTGCATGACATCACCAAATGTTAGAGCCTCACGTGACTTTACATAAGCTCCAGGCACCGGTTCATGGCAAGCCACAATATGGCCCTTGTGCCGTGCGACTATCGCCATTACTGTAAGACCCACCGCAGCTCTCATCAGCCCACGCCTTCCTTCCCCCCAGGCGGCAGAGCAGTGGACAAGCTTGAGCTCCACCACCCTATAAGCCTCGCTCCAGAGGCTTTCTAACCTGTGAGACTGGGGCTTGCCTTCGTAAACACTACAGTACTAGGCCTTCGGTCCTTGGCCAAAAGGTTGTATTTAGTAACACTTTCCAGGTTAGGCAGGAGCTTCTACCTCTAGGTACATGAGCGTACAAGATATCTACACTAGCAACGTCCATGACCACGGGTACGGACAACAAGACAATTCCATGGAGTCCCTGTTTTCCCGCTCCCCGCGCCTATCCAGATGGCTCCAATGGCTGCGCGGTCCCGGAAAAGAGGCCGCCTTGCCACATCCTATTCCTTGGCTACAGATCACTCTCACTTTCCAAAATCGGACTCAATCATTTCCCCTTGAGCATCTTATTATTCGTGCCACTCGTCGCTTCACATCCCCGGTTCTCCTCGCTATCCTCACCATTGTATACATAATATCTCTTGCTTTCTTCGCTCGAGCGCAGGTGCGTCCTTATTATTCTGGGCAGCGCCACACTTCCCAATCATCCTTCCAGTGGTATCAAACCCCTTCCGACGATTTTCTTGATTGCACTTCGACTTTTTGGCTCAAAGATAATGGCTGTGGCCTCAATGGCCAATTATGTACACCATTCAATACAACTAGCCCCTTGGAATTTCGCTGTCCTGCCACCTGTTCCAGCGTCATACTCGCTAACCAAAGGGCCGTCGGAGCCCAGGAAGTAAAATTTGTTCCTCTCGTGGTCGGAGGAGGTGACCCAGAACATACGTATCGAGGAGATTCTTGGATCTGTGTGGCCGCTCTCCAAGCGTATGCACCCGTCCCTGTTATGAATAATTCGGAGCCGAAGCTCATCATTTTGTAGAGGTGTCACATCACCTAGTACCGGCGGTTGTGGTGCCTTGGAGCGCATCGGCACGTATACCAACTTTTTGAGTGCGGATCGCAATGCCGTACATTCTACAAGCTTTCCGTCCGAATTCCCCCTCGCTTTCCGCTTCGTCCCCACTCCTACTGTTTCGGCGCATTGTACTGATATGCGTCGCGAAGCACTGGTTTTCAATATTCTTGTCTCTGTGATTTTGTTTGTGGTCCTTCGACCTCCCTCCCTTGTTGTAAGCTCCAATGTTCTTCAGATGTTGTTCGAAGCTGACTGCATGATGTTTTTCCAGCTCTACTGGTGCCTTCTGTGCATTGTGCGGATATTCTTTCCTGTCTACGGAGCACTGCTGATTCGCCTGCAGGGTTTTTGGCATAACACCTTTTTCTCAGATCCTCGTGCTGTTCCAGCCCCTATCTCAGATGCATTTGGAGTTTTCCTTCCCCTTCTCTTTGTGGCCTACGCGATGTGGCGATGTGCTTTTCGATTCGTGCTTCCCGCCTTTGAAGCTCTTCCAATAGAACGCGCAGTGTGGTATCTAGGAGCATACTGGCCCGGGGTACTTATCAACGTCGTATTCGAACATGTCCCTATCGATCGTCTCATTGTCAGCGACATTGCAGAACGCCGTGGAGCGCTCACATCACTTCTTATCATCGTTGTCCTGGTCATCATTCTAATCCTCAATCAAATGCACGTCATCCGTAACAGTGGGCTCCTACTCAGATATCTAAGCTATTATTTCATCGGAGGACTGGTCATATTGGTATTGGCAATGTTACCCGGTTTGACGTTCCGATTGCATCATTATGTGTTTGCAATACTCTTGATTCCTGGAACTGGATTTCCGACGAGAATTAGTGCAATTATTCAGGCCTTTTTGCTCGGGATGCTCGTGGACGGGATTTCGAGGTGGGGATTCGATTCTATTCTGCAGACTTCTGCCCAGGTATGTTGGAAGGATGATTGCGTATTCGTTTTCCTGATCAATCGTTGCATATGATAGCTCCGTCGGGATGCTCCGCTAGGGTCTTCATTGCCCACATTCTCAAGTATGCTAGAGAACAGCACGTTCTCGTCAATTCCACTTCACCACCCTCTTACATCACATGGGATCCCATCTCTCCTATTCTTCGTTCTACGGAAGGTTGGAATGGTTTCTCCCTCATTGTGGACGACGTCGAACGATATGTCGGGACGGCACTTAATTATACACTCGCTTCCCTGGATTGGAACGTAGTCCATTTCTTCAGACTCGCTGTGAGTGTCCAGCCTCGCAACGTGGCGGCCGTATAGCATCTGTACTGAGTACTCGTTTATATCGACGTGTGTAATACAGTTCCAGAAGGACGGCAAGAGTGGCGACTACACAAAAGCCGCGATGATTTTTCCTAACGGTTCGTTCGTCCCACCACTCCCGGGACCTTCATAACTTTTCTCTGCTGGAGCCCCTCAAATCACTTATTATCTTCGCCTTATTCTTTCATGTTGTCTTACACGGACTCTCGACCTGCACTCATATGTATGGGAGTTTCTACCGATGTATGTTCTTGTTTTTCACGTGCTGCTATTATTTACGTTTGCGGTGCCAGATGTTGTTTCAACGGAAGGCAGTACTTCTCCTCTACGGGAGGCTCCACTTTTTCCAAAAATGAATACCCCGTTTGAACAGTACGATCTGTGAGAAAAACGCGTGTCTATTGGTTCGCTGCATTCCCGTATGCTACTGGGCCCTTTGCACTGTTTGCTGAGATGCGGAGTCACTGGCTATCGCGCTTCAGGTGATTTTATCAAGGCCTGGGACTTATTGCGTGGTTTAAAAAAATAAAATAAAATTTTTTTCTCTTCTTGGTGCGAACCCAGGGCTGTGGACGGGTGGGGATGGCGGTACGTATCAATCTATACCTGTGGAGCCACAGTCACGTTGGCAGTCAGATCCAGATCCAACCCACAATGAGAAGATAACGAACCCCTCAAGGTCAGATTGGATCCCAGAGCTCCAGCGTGTGATTTCTTTCGGCTTGCTCTCTCCGAAATTGGTCGAAGCTGTACGATGGATAAGGTGGCTTGCTCTCATGATCATGTCCGGTCTAAGTGATCCCAGTCGGATAGTGTACAGTGGGCCTCAACGCGAGCCTGAGGATCGCAGATGAGATGAGCAATTTTGATGATCCAATCTGCGGCTCTACCGGTATATCGACTGATAGCTTCAGACGAGCCCAGGATGAGATCCAAATGACCACTTGAGAGCGGGCCGGCAGAGGGCGGATTCATCTGAATCGGGCTCACAGACTTTGGCGAACTCGCAGGCATACAAACTGAGGGGTCGCAGTTGTCGTTGGAGACACATTCCTTCCGCTGGGAGGACTACCTGTTGTCAGTTTCTGCATTTGAGAGGGGAACGAGGAAGTGATAGATTCCGGATTGTGGCACGGCAGCATCGGTGAGATGGCCGAGTTGGTCTAAGGCGCCAGATTAAGGCTTCCGTCACATTCTGGTCTCATTCTTGGGGCGTGAGTTCGAATCTCACTCTCATCAAGTTTTGACGATTTTTTCTTTCCACTATTGAGACTGCCAGTTGAAGAATCTACGTCTCGCCGTACGGCCGTGAGCCCCCCTGCCTCCCCGCCCGCCCCCACTGGCCTCTTATCCCTTCATGGCATCGTGCATGGCCTTTCGACGTTCTGTTCCAGCCGTGTGGTTGTCTCTTTTCTCCACGTGCATCGATGTATTACTATCTCTTGCTATTATTTATGTTTGAGACGCTGCAGTCTCTCTCCCACTCCAAGGGAGGCCCCCGTTCCTCTCCACCTCCCATTGCCTCAACTTCGCGTCATCCCATACTTTCCCTTGCAGATCTCCCTCCTTTCGCAAGAGTAAATGATTCACTGCGTCCGTGTCTTCTCGTCCTTCACGTCCCCCCCGGAGTCCTTGAAGGAGTGGCTGCGGAAGGCACTCGTTCGTGACAGGATGTGCGTAGTCTGGATTGTATGCATATGAAGTACCGTAGCCCAGGTCTTTCATGAGGCTTGTAGGAGCATTGCGCATGGATAATGGGACCGGGACTGTGGGATCAGCTTTGGCGGCTTCTTCTGCCTGTATTGGGGTGATGGAATAATAAGTCAAGACCGTGGCGCCTCATGGATAGGTAATTGTACATGCCCTGTTGTAGGCCTCATAAGCGCGGGTGGACTTTGGAGCTTCTGCGAGATACGCTGCGCAGTGCGCGAGGTTGATACGACACTCTGGCATGCCTTTTGCAGAAGAATGGAGAACGGCGTCGGGACGGAACGGGTTATATTACGATAACGAGGAAACCCCATAAAACGAAGAATATGCACTCACCGATGTTCTGACAAGCCATGTAAGTCGCCGTGGCCAGAGGAAGGGCATGCGGATCTGCAAGACCCACATCTTCGCTGGCTATGACGATAAGTCTGCGGGCCACGTATAATGGGTCTTCTCCCGCTGTAAGCATTCTCTGCGCCATACCGCCAGGGCACATGAGTGTTCGTCAGTAGGAGAATCCATGTTGTCGGTAGAAGCCACGGAGAAGAGGGACATACAGCGAGCCAGTACATAGCCGCTGAACCATCACTGTTGCGCACACTCTTGTGCAGGGTACTAATCATATCGTATCGATCATCCCCAGACCGATCATACCTAACAAGGAAAACGAGGAAAGTCAGTTATTACCATCTGCACGTTCCCAAAAATCAATGGAAGTAGCAGTACGAACCGAGACATGCAAGTCTTCTTTAGAGTGGTGATAATTCCGTCCATAGACGATGTGGTAGGTGCCTTGAGGACCAACTCCAATAGATTGAGTGCAGTGCGAGCATCCCCCAGTGAGAGTGACACGATCCGATCCAGGACCTCGGGTGTTGCGAGGTGTGCACCCGTACATTCCAGGTCGGGAACGGCGGCTGCACGGCATGCGGCACTTTTCAATATTTGAAGGACGTCATTGTCTGTTAGTCGTTCGAGGACTAGAACTCTGTTGCCATTATGAAGATTGAAGACCGCACAGACCGGGAAGAGGACGGTGGCATTCACCTGCATCTGCTTAGAAGTGCACCAACCACCTATGTATACTTTTAATGAGAGACAAAATCCATCAATCAGATCATGTGCCGAAGAACTGCACCTTGAAAGATGGATTCTCGGTAGTAGCAGCCAATAATTGTACCCATCCCTTCTCTACATATGGGAGGAAGAGGTCCTGTTGGATAGTTAGAATGTCTCACCAATAAGTAGTAGGTGGAACTGATCTCACCTGTTGCGCTTTATTAAACCGTTGTATTTCATCTTAAGAAAGATGCTCGTTAGATATTTCGAATATTCCGAAACATAAAGCCGAGGAGATGGCACCTACCTACGAACATAACGGTCCGCTTGCCAGTCAATTGAAGCGTATTCTTGGCTTCCTCAAACAGGGCACGAACGTCTGCAGTTCCGGATGATGTCGCGCTTAATTCCTTGATGGTCGATCCAGTAGACCGTGCGATTATGCGTGCTAACGACGTTTTCCTAATAGACAGTGATGTTTCTTAGTACAGCGCAGATAATGGTTTCTGTTAACCAAGAAGAGCGACCTGAACCGGGTGGACCCCACTGGGTGATTCGAGGAGAAATAGGGGTAATCAACTTCCTGCATGATTCTACAAGTGGGCATAGAGACCCACCAGGACCAGACTTCCAGCACTTCCAGAATCAATGAGACCACGCAAAAGGGATCCTTTCCCGATAACGGCTTCATGGCCCACGAAATCATCCAGAGTATGCGGTCGCATTCGATCGGCGAGAGGTGCAGCGGCCAGAAGGCTTCCAGAGATAGTCTGAGGGTTAGAAGGTTTGAATCTTTTGGACTGAGGTTCTCCCTTATTAGAAGGAGGGTGTGGTTGGATGGGGCTTGACGCGAAGGGACGGGCTGCGCGCGCAGGGGTTTCTGGAGCCGAGCGCTTGACGCTGTTCGTGAATATTGGAGCCAGATTATTTTTGGATGAGGATGCGGCCGTCGAACCCGATGCTTAAAACCGAATGCAAAGTGTTCTCTGCATCGAGATCTTGTAGTGGTGGCGCTTTCAACGTACCATTGCTAGACTGCGAGCTATGCTGCTGACACCCCGAGTCGATATGCTTATTGATTATACTCTCCAATACAGAAGCAGAGCAAATGGGGCTAGACATCAAATTTTAGGGGTGTCGGGCAGAGCTCACTAGTCGATCGTGGCGTACTAACCAAACGACTAGAATGGAGGAATGAGCAAAGCTTTTCCTGACGCGTCGCGAATCGCGTTACCATGAGAAGCTTCCTTTCCCATTTGAGGTCGGGTATACTTAGTAGATTAAAGCTTACAGATGAGGGTTTGCCATTCAAAGCAGACCCATTAGGTAAGCGGCTAAGCGCCCATTCTCCGCTCATAAAGTCACCCATCCGACTCATACCCTTGTTTGGAACAGGGTTTGTCTCACAGGGAAAATGACCATCATAGCCTATTGTCGTGGGATTGCGGGTGCAAAAAAATACGACGCCTTGCCTGTTGATATAGGGACTAGGGATCTCAGGCTAATTTATATCAAAAGGGAGGGGGTCCTCTGTTCCCCGGTAGATCGGCTTCCTTTCTGTCTTAAATTACTGACTGGCACCCATCCCTTAGGTGCATCAGAAGGCTAGCACTTCAACTGTACAGCACCTGGACAATTCTTTCTCAACGTCTTCCGGAGTGACGGATTTTCGTTTGACTTCCAAGACTTGCAGCGTACAGCCATAAGAATGCGTTCCCTGCTCGATGATTCTAGTGACAATGTCCAGATTTCCAGATGGGATGGCACTTGCCCTCTCACCGTGCCTTCTAGTGCGCAGGATGATCATGACCACGGGACAATGTGCAAGCCTAACATGAAGGATACGAAAGAGCCTCTCGTTAGGCCAAGCTATGGTACAACATGATGAGATAATCCGAAATTTGGCCAGACATCTGAGAGATACCCAGAGAACAGCAACACCACTATTGACGTCAATGTTGCGTAGGCATGTCGACCGAGGCCCGATTCTGTGATGTCAGAGTTTCCACGGGTTAGTTTCACTGGGTGGAGAGAAAAGAGACCTTGGGGCTACATACCCCGACGGCATCCTCCGCTCTCCATAGCGAAGTCGTAGTCTACGGACGACATATCGTCATGAAGAAATGGAGAATACACCTGGCCTCAAATTCACCTTATTTTGAGTGTAAAACTCGAGCCCACTGCGGACGGGAATCCTGCATAAATGGGTTCCCAGAGAAAAACGAGTACACTCACGTCCGACCATAGAATGACAAATTACCAAGGAAGCTCGCCTGATTCCTTACAAATGTCACATCCTTCTGGCGTTACTGAAGTTAAGATATCATACCTTATTCCCACTCCACGAGAACATCGGCAATGGGACAGGAATCGGTATATTAATACCTACCTGACCGACGTTTACCTCATTCTCAAACTTTCGTGCTGACGCACCGGATTGGGTAAAGATAGATGCCCCATTTCCATACGGATTCGCGTTGATAATCGCAATCGCTTCGTCAAGCGTGTCTGCCTCCAGACAGAAAAGCACCGGTCCAAAGATCTCGGTTCTGTTATTATGTTTCAATGTTCAAAATCAAGATTCAGACCACGATAGCAAGAGAGATGCGTACTTATAGGCTTCCATGGTAGTGACGCCCTCAACAACCGTGGGTCCAACGAAATTCCCTTCTTCATAGCCGGGAACAACGATTCCGCGTCCATCGAGGTGGATTTTACCGCCTTCCGCTGCAACTGAGCCGATCAAACCCGTCACTCGCTGTTTGGCAGCACGTGATACTAATGGGCCACTACGACCAAAGGTTAGATTAGCAGGAGAAGCACTGAAACGAAATGCACATACAGATCCACATTCTCTTCGAAACCGTTGTTCACTCGAAGGACCTTTGCACGTTCCACGAGTTCGGGATCCATGATTTCGCGGGACCGACAAACACGGCTATTGGGAAGGTGATACGCGATATGAGCTCATACGAACGTATTTAAGGACGACTTCGTGAGGTGATTCACCGACGGACAACGCCATGCATCGCTGACCGGCAGCTACAATGACGTATTACTTGAGCAGGACGGAAACGAAAGTATGCTGGAGAAAGAGTCACCTCCGAACGCCGCCCCCACCAAGGAATTTAAGGTCAAGTTCTTGTTCGCTGTACGCCAAAAAAAGGCATCAGAATTTTTTCCTTGTGAAGAATCCTGGCATTCGGCGCACCATCGGACAAGATAACACCATGATTCTTAGCGCCCATGTTCGCTTGTACGCGCTTCCCGTTCTGGGTACCTCTGGGCAATTCTACATTAGAATATGGCTCCGACAGTGAACCACAGGACTACCTGTTGTAGATGTGCTTGCCAGCTTTGTCACCACCCACAAAGCTGATAGCGCGAATAGCTGGGTGATCACATATGGCATTTACAGTGGGGACAGACCCATGAACGATATTAAGGACTCCCGGGGGAAGCCCTACACC